ATATATATATATATATAATAACATACATATACTAATTATCAAAACTTCCATATACGGAGTATGAAAGTAACATGTGTATGCTCGACAATAAATACGTATACTAAATTAATAACATGTATGTGTATACGTGTGAGATCCATTTCGTACCCTTCAGAGTCCCGTAATTTCTTAATTTCTTCGTTCGTGTGTATATAGATTTATAGAACAAATAGATACTTTTAATTAATACAAGTAGTACGTGCATGCTTCTAGTAGCTTGCTATATACACGTGCAGTCATTTATCCTACTTAGCCAGGTCAAAATTTTAAGGATCATTTATCACTTAATAATATCCAAAATTTATTCTTAAATTTGACTAAATGGTCCATATATCAAATTAATTCTCAAATGATTAACAATTAAACCATAACACTAAATAACACATACTACTACGTAACGTGTTATTTATCATAAATTAGTAACAACTCATTAAGTAATACTTGCATGCATCTCTGACCTATTATAACCTATATTCCATATAGTTATGTATCAAAAACCGTGGTTATAGGTCTAACCGTTAGTTTTAACGTATTTTTCTTCTTAATTTCACAACTGTACTTATTTCTAGATGACTTCCATATTGCAAAAAGAAAAAGTAATTACTATCATATACAATTATGCACTCGTAATCAATAATTCTAAAAAAAACACATTCTGAGAAGGCTATATAATGTTCATTATCCCCATAACGCAACGGGAAACGGGGACGGAAATAAACACAATAATCTAAATGGCCGGGATGGAAACGTACTGACCTTATAGAAATTAAAAGAACTTATACGAAATAAACTAGGCTGGGAGCTCCTCTTTGCCGCACCGATTCTTCAACATAGCTAGCTACTAGTCTCTTTCTATAAGTTAGTTTATGTACGAGTATATATATTTTTACCCAGCCACTTACGAAGAGCAAGGGAAAAGTTTTTGAATAGGTTGTGTATAAGTCTATGGCCACCTATAAATGCTAGCCCCTTCCTTGAACGTGGATGAAGCCAAATTAGTGCTACGCTCCAGCCCTCATCACATGCATATTAGCTTATAACACGTATATAAGGGGTATTGTGAGGCTTCCATGTGGAGATTGGCATGCATATTAGGACAATATATGTCTCCAGGTGTAATTTTTTCATGCAGGTTAGGACAACCTGTTATACGTATAGGGCAGGGGTAAGATTTTTTATTTGAAGCCAAGTGGGTGGGTCATGATCAGAAGGTTTTGTTTGAATTACTATACTTCAAATTATGTAGCAGTACCTACGTACCACTCATTTTGAACAGGTTTGCTTTTGATCCCAAAATTTGATTACGAAGTGTCCTAAATGTCACACTTATATTTTACATTTATTCAGTTTCTATTTTAATTATTAATATTCATTGTCTAGTTAATAATAATTCAACAGTTAGGAATTTATGAGAAGGATTATTAATTCAATATTACGTTACCGGCTAGACCGGGTTTTGGGGTGTTACAACATCACAAGTTAAGACAGTAGATGTTGATTAGATCAGATACGCAAAAATGCATCAGCATATCATAAGAAAGAAAGCAAAATTATATTAGTAAGAATGTAAAAGGTGTTGAAGCAACATCATGGCATTCTCAAAATTATTTCAACTCTATAATTCCTTAAAATAATTGACCAAACATCATGGAGAAATTTGAAATGGAATGGCTTAGCTCAGGGAAAAGGACCGATTACTCTTTTTGGGAGCTATACCGAGACTGAGGCGTGAGGCTGATGGCTTCGAACTGCAAAGGAGATTTGCTCTTCTATTGCGGTTGTGACAGGCAGAAAATGGTTGTCCATCCCTTCAATTGCAGCAATAATCGTCGATCTAAATGTGGATCGGCCTGAAGAAGAAGAAAGTTGAAGAAAATTATTTTTGAAGCAGCGAGAGAGTTGACCGATTTTTTTTAGGAGTGAAATTAAGCAAGGGAAGAGGTCACCTCTGAATCGCAGCACATCTGAGCGAGAGGCTTCGTTCAGAAAGGGTGACCGATTATTTTTTAGGAGTGAACAGCGGCGGACCCAGAAAGTCAGAACCACTGGGTCCCTACCCCTTTATATCTCTAATCTCTAATTAATATAAAACTAATAAAAAATATTAAAGAAGCATAACACCTCATAGTTAACGTACACCATCAAAACATTAAGGTATTATAAAGAAAAAAATACATATACAAATCATTCAACAATTCTAAGTTTCATTTGTTGGAAATATAGAATCATCACTAATAGTTTTGGTCTATTTAATTAAAATAGGCAAAAACGGCGTAGTTTTGGTCTATTTAATTAAAATAGTTTTCGAAAACAAAAAATGTTTGTTGGAAATATTCTATAATAGAATCATCACTAATAGTTTTGATCTATTTAATTAAAATAGGCCAAAACGACGTAGTTTTGGTTTAATTAAAATAGTTTTGGAAAACAAAAAAGGAGCCCAAAATACATTAAGGTATTATAAAGCAAAATAATACATATAAAAATCATTTAACAATTCCAGAGATGTACCCTCTTGAGCTTCATTTGTTGGAAATATTCTATAATAGAATCATCACTAATAGTTTTGATCTATTCAAAATAGGCCAAAACGACGTAGTTTTGGTCTATTTAATTAAAATAGTTTTGGAAAATAGAGAAAGTTTTGTTGGAAATATTCTATAATAGAATCATCACTGAAAGTTTTGGTCTATTTAATTAAAATTAAAATAGGCCAAAACAACTTAGTTTTGGTCTATTTGATGAAAACAGTTTTGAAAAAAAAAATAGGAGCATAGGGGATTCGAACATGGTACCCCTCCCAAACATAGAAATCTAAAACACACGTTGCTACCGTTCCCCTGCTCCATTCTTTTGGTTCTTAGGTCGTTTTTCATGTAAATATACACTTAGTAATTAATTTTATATAATATATGTATAATATATATAGGTATTTTTTTCGAGGTGCACGGGGTCCCGGGACCCCATGGGACCCTTACTGGGTCCGCCTCTGGGAGTGAAGTTAAGCAAGGGAAGAGGTCACCTCTGAATCGCAGCACATCTGAGCGAGAGGCTTCGTTCAAAAAGGGAGAAGATGTTCTCTGAGCGAGAGGCTTCGTTCAGAAAGGGAGAAGCTGTTCGGCCTGAAGCAGAAGCGAGGGAAGAGCTCACCTCTGAATGTTCGCCCTGAAGCAGAAGCGATATATCTGACCGATTATTTTTTAGGAGTGAAATTACGGAGAAGACCTTGGCGTTAGGCGGGAGAAAATTTCTGTTTCATGTGTAGTGCCTTTAAGTATTGTTGGGATATTAGATCCAGGCCCAATATCCCTAGGCCCAAACCTGGGAGGAAGCATCAGGCCCAAGGCAACCAAAAGAATTCCCGGACGGCATTCGGGATAAAGCTTCTACTTGGAACATTCCAGGAAACAATTATGCCAAAGTGCCAATGCCCAGATCCCGATCGGTAACAAAATAATATCTATGGCGGGGTCCCACACACCGAACACCTTGCCCGAACGGGCAGTCAGCAAGTGGAGGCCGCATTTAATGCTGGATCATGGCAGCTACAAGTGGGAGGCGTGTGTGCTTACATGGCAGAAGTAATAGCCTACCAGATTCGACCACGTGTCCGCCTTACCCATCCCCATTTTAGTTTAAATACCCATGTTTAGATCATTGTAAAGGGTTAGCATTTTGATACTCAGAGCTTAGCAATAGATTTATATCTCTTATCCTTGTATTCTCATAATCATCTACCGTTGGATAATTATTGAATACTAGTAAGCTCCTGAGTTGGATAATATCTCACTGTTTTATATTTTATACACTTTTCAACCCAACCCAATATCCCTACAATATCCAAGGCTTGTGTTGGGCTTTCGGATCTTCGGGAATAAACCTCAACAAGTATATAAAGATAAAGATATCATACTTTAGAAACTAAAAGCTACGTAAATTTGGAGTAAATTTTTAGTATATTTTATGTTTCAAAACTTAAAGCTACGTAACTTTGGAGTAAACTTTTAGTATATTTTATGTTTCTAAATTTAGAATTAGAAACATAAAACTACCTATAGCGCATATGTAGGCTATTATAAATACAAAGAGAATGTAAACAAAAGTGTATTTTCACTATTGACTTTCCCCTTAGCTTAAAGAATTCTATTGTTTAGTGTTCTTATATCAAGAATGGCATCACACTAAGTCAATAAGTTTCTACTTAATTTGAATGATATATTATTGAATACTATGTACATATGATACTTTACCATTCACATGTTTATGATACATGATATTATTATGCATTATACCTGATTGATTAATATTCCATAAAATGCAACAGTTATTCTCTAATACGTCAGCTTGATACACTGTATCCAAGACCGACTGGACAATCAAAGTTCATGTTTATGTCAATCTAATTAAAAATATCTTTATTAATGATGTTTTCAATGTGACGAAATAAATGAGTAAATTGTAAAAATGATCCTTTTTTTCATTTTCAATGTTATGAAATAATGAGTAATATGTAAGATCTCACTAAAAAAATTTACCAAAATTTATTTCATACCAAGTTGAATGAAAAATATTTAAAAAAAATGTTTTGAGATGCTTAATGAAATAATATAAAGGATGTGAAATTGATTAAGAAATTTTTGTGTGAATTCTTTAAAATCGGATTCATAACAATTATGTTTCGTTGAGATGCTTATGTAGAAGTCCGTTTTAAATATTTTTCATATAAATTTTAATGTATTTTATTAATTATATACGCAATACATAGTATATTGTATTTTTCTTTTTTATAATTTGGGAGATTCCGTCAATTTAGCCTAATCAGTTAGATTTAAATCATTACAGTAAAGTCAGACAACTCGACCAATTTAGTATTATAAAACGATTTTATATTAGACTGAGTTTATGAATCCTAAAACATCAAAATTACAATTAGCTTGAAAACTAGTTACGGAATATAGCAATATAATAATGAGTGCGCACCATCATTCTAATTTCCAAAACTCTTCCAAATTCCCCATATAAAAACCCAACCCTAGACTGGAAGCACTAAACTATTCCCGGCGGGTAGTATAACACTATGGTGTAGAGAGGGCGATCATCAATCAATCGGAAAAGCACTATGGGTTTCGATGAACACACGGGTTGGAAATCCGCAGAGGAGAAACGGTGCAAGAGAAGGTCAAAGGAGAAAGAGGGTGAGGTTGTTCCGGCGAAGGCAGGTGTTGGGAGTGAGAATAGAGGAGGAAGTGATGCTGTTGTTGCTGAAGGCGAAGCTGTGGATGCAACTGCCTGGGGGAGTGAAGAAGCAGCAGTAAAGAACAGGAAGCAGGAAAGAAGAGCGACGGAGGAAGTGCCTATTCGGAGCTCTAAAGTAAGAGGCGGAGTGCGTGACTTGACCAAAGTAGGGAAGGGAAAAAGGGGGAGAAATGGTTCTAAGTACGGGAGTGGATTAGACCCTCTTTCTCCAATGACTAATTGTAGTAAGGGTTGCTATGACAGTGAAGAAAAATCCTCAAAGAAGATAAGAATGGGTTGCAGGGGGGCTGCTGTTGTGAAATCTCACAGTTTTGAAGATGGAAATGTAGGTAGTGGTGTGGCTAGAGAGGGAAATGAAGCAAAAAAGAACTCAAATATGAAGGTCATGGAGGAAGTGAGTCCATATCTTGCTACTGTCCAGGAAGATTTGGTTTCTCCCTCTTTTGTGCAATATCCCAGTTTTAAAGATGGAAATGTAGGTGCTGTTGTAGCTAGAGAGGTAAAGGCAGCAAAAAAGAAGTCAAAAAGACCCTCAAATATGAGGTTGGAGGAGAAAGAGGTGGATGGAGTAACCAAGGAGAGTTCGTCTTTTGCTGCTGCTGCGGCCTCTGCTCGAGAGGAAAAGGAAGAGAGGAAGCTGGAATGGTGCACAGAAGAAAAGCAAGGCTTCCTCCTTTCCAACATTGATGACAAGAAAGCTGCTGATGATGAAGAAGAAGTTAAGTTGGATTTAAGGAATAGAGAATACAGGGGGGATGAGGCTACTAGACCAGTGCGTCGGAACATTGAGGATGATTTGGCTCATTTTACATACATACGAGAAGAAGGTTACAAAATAAGTAGACCTGCTGCAGGTTGCAGAATAAGATGCAGAACAAGTCGACCTGCTGCTGCTGGTACTACAAAAGCGCCATATTCAACGGCTGCAGAAGGTGGCCACGGCCAAAGGCCCAAGAAAAGGGCAGTAGCAGGTGGTCACGGCCAAATGCTTAAGAAAAGGGCAGCAGGTGGCCATGCCCAAAGGCTCAAAAAGGCCGGAGAAACTAAAATCAAACCTGTTTTAACTGCTGCTCAGAAGCGAGATGAAGCTTACCTAAGGAAGATGCCAGCTAACAATTGGAACCCGCCCCGTTCACCTCATAATCTCATTCAAGAAGATCATGTCCATGATCCGTGGAGGGTTCTCCTCATTTGCATACTACTTAATCGCACAGATGGGAAAGAGGTAATTCTAATACATATGTCATACTTCCTCCCAATTTCATTAGATACATTTTAAAAGTGTGATAGTTTTCCTAATTTAAACATTCATATTTTAGCTTCTCTTACCCTCCCTTCTGCTCTCTCTCATGTCGTTCTCCATCTGCATTTAGTATTTGTTGGACCCACTTTTTTTAATGTTTTGGTCTGTTATTAGTTGATGGGCCCCATACTTTCCCTTTCTAACATGCAATATTAGGGAGTAATGAAAATCAATTGAAAATCTTGCTACCAAGGTGAAGGTTTACATATCATACTCGTGTTTATTTATCACTTGATTAATTTGGACACAAAAAATAAACTGATTTGCAAATATGAAGAAATCATCCACATTACATTAAGATGTGACATTTCTTCTTCTTCCGAGCAAGATAAACAAAAAATTCAGTTGATACTTAATCAGCAATAACTAGACCTTAAGAGTAACAAAATTAGGCAGCACAAAATACAAAATAGCTCGTACAAAATAGACTACATAAAGAACAAAATTCGCAACAAAAATAGGCTGCAAGTTACAGAATCTTCCCACTTTTACCAAAAATGTTGTGCACGAAATATATAAACATTCTATTCAAAATTGACTACTTAAAGAACAAAGTTCCCAACAAAAATAAATTGCATGTTTCAGAGTCTTCCCACTTCAACAAAAAATGTTGTGCAGCACAAAATGAAAATTTCTAACAAAAATAGGTTGCAAGCCTGCAAATTTGAGAGTCATCCTACTTCAAAAAAAAGTCGTAGACTACAAATTGCATAAAAAATTACTGTTGGAGTGCTGATATTGCATCACTCAATACTTCTAAGTTACATGAAATGGTATTTGGCAATCGTCCTTCTTGCTCCAACTTTAGCTTGTTGATGTGTGGCAACTTGTAGTTATTCACTTATTCCCTCCAAAAATTTCATTGCCTCAACCATGCACAATTGTAGTGATAAAAAACATTGTTAAGACTTCCAACGGGTGTTTTCACACAGGCCTTTTGAGTAGCAGCCATGGTTTTAAAAAGCGTTTCGCTTTTACGCCCCTGAGGCGCAAAGGCGTTCATTAATCGCCTGTAAGTCGTAAGCCTTACCTCCCGTTAACAAGGCTTACGCCTTTCTTTTGCTGAGGCGTCAAAGCGGGCGGTGGGCGCAAGGCGTAGACAAGGTGTACGCCTCTAATTCTACGCAAGTTGGGCTTATTTTTTTATTTATTGGGGGCCTCGTTTTATTTTCCATCCTAAATATCTAGTCGCATCACTCGTTTATCAGTTAGTCGACATCCCTAGGTCCTAGCACATCGCTGTCTTCAATATTCTACGATATTAGCAATTCCACCTTCTATAGTTTCTTATGGTTTTTATTGTTTTAAGCATTTTTATCTAAAGTTTTAGTTATTTAAAAGTTCATTTTTTGAACTATTTAATACCATCATCCCTTTTTATAACTAATTTACTGAATTAAAATTTTATTTAACGCTTTTAGACCTGAACTACTATTTTTTTCTTCCAGATTATTAGTCTGTAGGAGTACTACTACTTATTCTGCCAGAGTATTAGTCTACGGTCAATCTGATGTTTGTCTGTTTTTAATTTAACATTATAAGTTATTACTTATTGCTATATTTATTAGCCTACGGCTTAAACTTTAAAGTTATCATACAAAACTATCATTTAGCGTAATAATTTATTTGGTTAATTGATAGGTACCTTTCAATCATACCACCCCATACTGAGGTTTGTACATACGACCTCCTTTTTTCTTCCATCCCCTCTTGTCTTCATCTCTGTATTTTCGTCTTTTTATCAAAGAGTTAATAGCTCGTGTAGAATCCTCCGGAACTTAAGCCACCACATACTCCGCATTTTCTCCAGTTTTGCTAAAGCCATCTATACGGACAGTCCCTGTAAGCTTTCCAAAGTATTTAGACCAGCAACTTTATCAATCGAGGATGCACATTCCATAACAATCGAGGATTGAGTCACCACAGAAAATTTCTCCTCTGATCCCTCATCATCATCATCATCATCATCAATGAACCTATCTTTAGAGATAAATTGTAGCTGATTATTGAATTCCAAACTGAGCTGTGAAGCTTGCGAAGTGAGAGAATCTGCTGGCGATTTCTCCTGGCTTTCTTTGTTGCCCTCATTGAACTTCTCTGCATTTCCTCTGGATCACGAAGCACTCCTATCATCACAGGAAGGTTGCAGCAGGTTAACAGACTCCAAACGTAGCGGTGACACTTGGAAAGTGTGAGAATCCGCTGGTGCTGTGAGACGCGGTTTGAGATTGAGAAGAAACCTGTGAACTCAGAGAAGCGGCTTGCGACAAAGAGTACTGGTGAGGAGCGGCTACTGAAGGCGCAGAGTCCGGCGAACAGGAAGAAGCTGTTTGCGAGTGCGAGCTGAGAGTCGGTTCGCGAGTGCAAACGAGGAGAAACAGTTCGCGAACTGGGCGAAGCTGTTTGCGATGAAGTCTCCGAACTGGCAAAACCTGCTCGCTTTGAAGTTTGGGACGGCGATGAGTCCTGGTTTTCCAACTTCCAACGATTTCTAGGAGGGCTCCTCACTCTGTCTCTATGTCGCTTCTGACGGTGATGAAGTTTGCGCAACATATAGCGCAACTCCTTCCATTGACTGTCGCTATTGTCCATCTTCTTCCTCAACTGTCGTGGAAACTGATGATCGATTCAGGCTCCAGGAACGATGCTCTGATACCAATGATAGGTACAGGGAAATATGACGAAGAATTGTTGAATATTAAAACTGAAGTTGTGAAAACTGAACAGAAACGATACACGTGAGGCAAATTCGAGAGTGCCTCGGTCTCTCCCGAGTCCAAATCCAAAGTTCTGCCTACCTTCCCTCTCTTCTATTCCTTCCATTTATTCTTTTCCAATGAGGCTTCCCTCAATACATCTAATTACTTAGCCCAGCCCACTATTACAATTTATTAAAATGTTAAGCCTAAAAGTCCAGGTCTCTATCACTATTCAGTTTGAATCCAATATCAAGAAATCTTATCTTGAAAACCATATAATTCATCTTAGTTTGTATTTAGGATTACATGTCATCAAATTTCACTTCAATGTGAAATTAAGAACCTTTCTTGATTAGACTTGTTAACCTTAACATAAAAAGTGTCTTCTTATATTGGAGAACAACACAATCTTACGCTGTGGCTTACGTTAGATCATACTTATTAATTGTGTCTTCTTTACACCTTACAGGCTTACACAATTTCCAGCTTTGTTTCTAATGTTTTTGAGAGAGCCTAAAAGTCTATTTCTCCCAAAAAATAGACTAATTAGTATCCAATACTTTCTCATTGCCTACTTTACTTGCTTTGTTCTCGCTTAGTATTTTAAATCTGCCTTACTCATACTACTGAGTATTAAGTTATCTAAGACAAATGACTAATTGAAATCTAGAATTTCCTCTGCCTAATTTACTTGCTTAGTTCTAATTTCCTGTTTCTTTTCTAATGTATCAAAATCTGACTTATTCTAGCTACTCAGTAAAAGTTTTCTAAATTAAACAATATCATGATGCTTCAATGTACAAAAATATCACCATTTCCTTGTTTTCTAAATTCACTTTTACTTGTGCCTTACATATCCTTTAGTAGGAAAAAGGAATTTTCTAGAGGGGATCAAAGTGCATTCTTTTAATAGGATAAATAGCAGATACCAGTTCGGAAGCACTCCACTGATGCTGAATAAGATGAAAGCCTAAAAAATTGAAATAACTATTTTTAACTATTTAATTAAAGATTTTGCAAAAAAAAAGTAATTAATTAAAGAGTGCACCAGCTACTTACAGGATTTGGTGTGTGTGTGTTTAACCTACATATCAAGAAATCTCTTCTACTTCAACAAAAGCTAATGATAAGGGAAAAATAAATTATAGAACCACCTTAACTTTTATACTGCCAACATTTTAACAAACAGATACTATTGTTTCAATATGAAACTAACGGTGCCAAGGAAAATAGTTGAAGAAACTGCTGGCCATACCTTGAGATCAGACACCCCGGGCCAAACCCGAATAACTCATATCTGTCTTCTTCTTCTTCCTGGAGTCGCAAGCAGGTGAGCCCAGCCAGCCCGCCACTCGCGAAGCATGTTTCCTCCTCCACCTTGGATAAATCACCACATTGAATAAACATTAAAACATAAATAATACTCTGTACAATGATACAAAATAACATATTTGACAAAAGCAGAGCCATAGACTAATGGATTGTCCATAATAAATAATCCTTCAAAATTAACTAACCATAAAACAGAAATACTAGAGCCTACAGAAAACCTATTACACATCAATAAGTTTAAGTTTAGCAAATAACTAATCAGGACGAGTTTGTACAGTTAAACTATTACACAATAATAAGTTTAAATTTAGCAAAAACCAATCAGTGAGTTTTAATCGAACAGTTTGTCAATCAAAATACATAGGTCATTAAGAGAGAATGCAGACATTACCTTAGATTTCTTGGAATCTGCCTACTCCACTTCTTGTTTGATCTTGATTTTAAGTTTCTTCTTCTGCCCATTGGTTTAAAATTCATCAACCAGTTTCCTCTTGATCTGATCATCCAGATCAATAACAACTTCTTTCTGCGACTTAAGAATGGCTGTTGCTACATCGCCATTGTTCTCAACAACCTGTTTATTAGTTAAAAAGCAATATTGCTAAGGACTTGTTTAAGAAGAAACAAAAAATGCTAGGATAGAATATAGTACCTGCTTTTTATTGGTCCTGTCTTCCTCAGCTTCTTTTGTAACTACACTCGCTATGTTTGTGGTTGAATCACTCTGAAATAGATGATAGACAATTTCTAAGTGCTCGCAAGTGCACGAGTCGCAGTTGTATAGTGCTCAAGTGAGGGTCGAATCCACGGGGAAAATGCAACTAAGTAATTGGAAAACTATTAATTAATAAAAATAAAAGTGAAATTAATCTAACTAGAAAAAATGAATTT